ACTCCAACTTATCCAAATAATATTGCACGACTGAAACTAAGTGTCTCTGTTCTAGCAGACAGTCGTCAGTCGACTCTGCGACATAAATATTCAGAATGCTAATTGCCACACCCTGGCCGGTTTACCACTGAAAATTAACAACAGTAAAGTTTCACAGAAGTTCAGACGGTCGAAGTATAGTGTTGAATCACCGTTACAGAACCAACAAAAGTGTAACCAGCTTCTCTTAAGGAATCATTAAGCCCTGGCAATCTAAAGTTAGGTTAATTTGAGAAGAAAAGCAGTCTGAATACGGGCATCTGACAAATATTCCCTTTAAAGCTTATCTTTCGGAGTTTTTACATTCCAGTCGTACAGGCCACAATAACCTGTTGAAGTGCCTGTACCAGTAAAAATTTACAGCACATAAAAAATGAAAAGTTAAACTTTCACACTCTCATCCGTACTATAAATACGCTTTCCCATACGATAAAGTTTAAAAAATAATTACCTCCGATGATGTGACAGTTATCGAAGTCATCACTGTCTCGAACGTCCAGCAAGAGATAGGGTTTAGTGACGCAGTCCCCCAAGAGAGCAGACTTGGAGGAACACATTGGTAAACGGTCCCCAGCCATGTCTATTTCGCCAATGCCACAAATAACACTGTAAAAAGGCGAAACCGCTGAAAGAAATAAGCAAATAAACGAACTGAAAAGCAAAAACAGACCCAAAAAGGTGTCTCTGAAGGGTTTCCTGAGAAAAATGTTTTCCGTTTAACACTCTAATTTTACTGTGTTAATGAAAGAGAAAGTCTTTTAATTAGAACGAACATATCTTAATCGCTGTACTCAGAGGAAATATGGTTTTTAACTTTGGGACAAAATATGTCAAACTGATTTATTGTCGCCTGAAACGTAGCTTAAACTATATGGTATAAGATATGCTTCTGTGTTCCAGGCCCCTTTGCTAACAGTAAACACATAAAAGAGGGAACATGTAGAGCAGGCATACAACTTGAGGGTCGAATTGAAAACAGCGACTTTGCCTTCACCAAATGGAAGTTGGTATTTGCTAGTGCTCAGATCCCTACTAGCGACCTGAAAACTACGTCTAAATTTACTGTCTAAACTAAGAGTTCTAACATGTCAATAGCTCCGACGGAAATAATCAGAAATTTAAATAACATTCCAGACGCCAGCCGTTCGTAAATTGAAATTTACGGACTGAATTTGGAAACCATACACATAGCACTCAATTAAGAGCTATAACTCTTAATCAAGTTCTATATGAATGGTTTCGGGGCTGTTTCAGTGAATATGTTCACTGAAACAGCCCCGTAAATTTTCGTACCGTGAAATGGAATAATAAATATGAACGTTGAATAGAGGCTTTGCAAAAAAGAAAGCACAATAGAAGCCATTCGGCCTTACGACTCAAGCTTTGATCGTGCTGTAGACGGTTCCTTCACTTCAGCAGTCGTCGCATTGTTGTTTTCAGGGGCGGAATCTGTTTGACCATTTGCTAAAGCAAACATCAATATGTTTATTTAAGTGAAAGGACCTCGGACAGGTACAGAGATCAAGACCGTGGAGCATCAATAGTCTCATCCACAGGTGATTTCAAACTTCTCAATGCAACCCCAGCCAAGCCATGATAGATAAGCGACCAGCGTTACCCAGGAAAACTTGCAAGCTCCATGCAATGGCAAAAGCAGACACTGGTGCACACAGCCTCTGCGCAGTGGACTACGATATAAGTAATTTTCGCCGTAATAGTGGCAACCTATTTTAATAAGTGTCAGTTGCAGGTAAACAATTTAAACACGAAAGCAAGTGACATACTGTCGAGAGTAATTCATAAGTTATCGACCGTGCAACAGGGAATTAGATAAAACCCGCGTTATTGACGTGAAGCCGCAGGCCAGAAGTTGCAGGAAAGTCAAAAATCCAAAGGTCGCGGAGATTACAATATAGCACCTACGCAGTGACCAAAAAGGAATCTATGACAAATAATATACGCATGTTATGGTTCCGCTAACTGCTAACCGATGGCGTCAGTACGCACAACCTTACCAAGAGAACGACAACAGAAATCGGCAGTTCAGCCGTTAGTTTCGACGAAGTCTACCAAGTGCGCCAAAACAGGGTGGTGCAGAGTCGGTGATTTGCGCTGGACTATAGTGAACGCAGCCCTGTGCATCATCTAACTCATTCTTTTCTACTCCACAAACTGAGCCCGGTGTCAAGGGGTATAGTGAATTATACAAGATTGATGCAAATAAAATTTGTGGCAAATCACCGTAAGAATCTTCACAGATTGAAACATATGCGGTTTTCGTTGGTAAGCCTACTATGTGAGTACCATTCTGTTTTGCCGAAGTTAAGATTTTTAAGAAAAAGCAGGAGCATTAGAGGAGTTGCGAACGAGTAATTGAACCTTACGAAAGAACAGAACAAAATATTGGACGATAATTGGTGATACCCTGATAGAAAAACGCTAGCGCCGCGTGAAGTCGCCTAGCGCCGTCGCGCTATTCTGTCCCTGCGTTGCGCGCTCGCATGCCCCGAGGCGACATGCGAGAAGCGTCCCTAGTCTGCGTCACCTCCTGTGACAGGGGGT